AATGTTCTCCAATGAGAATTACTTAGATAAAGCCAAGGGCACAAAATTTAAAAGAACAGTCATAAACTTCATCAAAGATATCAAAAATATTTAAGAAGACAAAAACAGCTCAGTGGACTTAAATAGAATAAGAATCGTCCGAGTTAAAGACAAGAATATACAAATTTATGGCTGAATGAAATGACAGAGGAATTCTGGGCTAGAGAGAAGGCTCAGCGGTTAAAACACTTGGTTGTTCTTTCAGAAGTCCTGAGTTCAACTTCCAGCAACCACATGGTGGCTCATAACCATCTATATTGAGATCTGATGCTCTCTTCTGGCATGTAGGTGTACATGTAGATAGAGCATTCATATACATGAAATAAATAAAAAAGATTTAAGAAGGTTAAATATTAAATTCAAGAGTGAGGTAGAAATACCTTTTTAAAAATTTACTCTTAAATGAAGATGAGATTGAAACTCAAAAACTCACTTAGAAAACTCAGAGGAAAACACGAATAGATAAAGTAAAAAAATAGAATATCAAGACTTAAAGATAATGTAGAGAAATTTGATTACACAAGCAAAAACTACGGAAAATATTTTAAACATAATAAAGGAAAAACATTGAAGCATGTAACTTGCCTTTAGATTTTACAGGAGGCTAATCAGAAATTGTCTCAAGTCTAGAAGAGATCTTGAACCTTTAAACGGTGTTGAGAATGTGAAAGAGTATAGGGATATTTGAAATTGGACTAAATGCAATTTGCATTAAGGGTCAGCAAGTAGAATGTAGAGATCTGAATAAAAAAAATTTCCCAGAGGTTCGGCTATTTAAGCACTTCATCCCCAGTTGCTGCTGTGCCTTGTTGACATGATGCCTCTTTCCTGGAAGAACTTCACTGGGAGTGAACTTTAAGAATCCACATCCTTGCCTCTCTTGTAGTTTGTTCTCTATTTTGGGTTCATGACTAAAGATGTGATTTCTTAGCTTCCTGCCCCTAACTACCTCCTACCATGATGTTCTTATTCATCATTGTGAATTATAATCCTCTGGAACTGTAAACACAAATAAACTCTTCAACTTGCCTTGGCCATTTTACTTTATCATAGCAACAGAAAAACAAAAAAACAAACAAACAAAAAAAACTGGGATAGACTCTAACATGGGGGAGAAGGGGACGTATAACAGAGGGAGTTGAATGTGACAAAATCTGATGACCTGAGTCAAATTCTGAGGATCTATGTGGTGGAGAGAACAGATTTCTTCAGGTTGTCCTATGACCTCCACACATGTATGGCAGTACTCTCTCTCTCTCTCTCTCTCTCTCTCTCTCACACACACACACACACACATACACACACATATACACACACACAAATCTCTAGCTTTCTTCAACTTGAATAGAGTTTATTTGGACTTATAGTTCCAGTTGTGTGTGAATACACACACACACACGGTTGGGGCTAGAGAGATAACTCAGTATTTACATGTACATTCTGCTCCTGCTGGAGGTCTGATTTAAGTTTTCTGTACCCACATCAGATGACTCATAAGGCCTATAACTTCACCTCCAGGCAGATCAATGCTTTTGTCCTCCAGAAGAGTACACCTGCACTCATGTACATAAGCGCCCACACACAAAATCTTAGAAAAACAAAAATACAAAGTTAACATATTTAGAATGTACTTAGGGCTTTGCTGGTTTCATAAACTGGTGGTTGTAGCTCCTCCTCCAAGAAAATGATTTTATTAACCCTGAGCAATTGCCAAAGTTTCCAGTACTAAGACTGATTTTCTTTTTGTTAAGTGGATCAAAAATACAATTAGAGAGCTGTTGGTTATATGTATGTATGTAATAAAACTTAATGGGAAAATAAGCTATGAATTTGAAAGAGAGAAAGGAGGCATACAGGGAAATTTTCAAGGGTGTCAAGGAAAAGGGAAATTATGTTATTTTATGATCTTAGAATTTGTATAGATATTTTTCAAAAGATACAATGATATTTTTAAAAAGCTAGCACAACTGGAATTGAGACAACAGAACCAGAGACTGGTAAGGAGTAAAGAATGTAGAGATCTTCAGTAATTGGCATAACATATAGTTTGGCACAAGTATTGTCATGGTGTGCTACTACACAGTACAGTGTCTTCTGATATGTATTGTACTTAAACAATTTTTCAAATATTTGCCATAAAGAAATAATTTAGTGCATATATGTTCATCCTGATTTAAACATATACACATGCATACATGCATGTTAGTGCCATATTGACTCAGCTATACCATTCCTCAGCATACAAATAAAGACCCCAAGTCAACAGACCACAGATTTCTATCTATGTTTACTGCAGCACTGTTTCCAATAGCTGCTAATGGATCAGTCAGATCTCCATAACGGATGAATGCATATAGAAAATGTGACTACATATACACATATATCTCCATCCTGATGTAGTTCTAGTCAGCAGCAAATAATGAAACAATATCACCATCAGGAATATGGGTGTGTTGAAGATGACCATACCCAGAAATATACTAGGCTCAGAAAGGCAAATATATTTTGTTTTCTTTCCTCTGGAAAACCTGTATTTTATGCAGACAAAATTATTCAGGGGAAATGCATCATGAATAAAAACAACTAGATGTGAAACTGGGGGAAGGAAAGAACTAGTGGAAAGGGGACGAAGGGACAAGGGAAAGGGGAGGAGTAGGAGAAAGAAAGCATGGTCAAATATATGATATACTTATAGAAACCCTTTATAGTGAGCATATGCAAATAAAAATAAGTCAGAAAGCAAGCAGTTACCAACAAAATTCATGTAGGGAAGATGTATATGTATGTATATAAATTCACATATATCAATTGATGAATACACAAATTATATTCATTTAAATATATATTTAAGGTCATGACATATAAAATATACTCCTTACTGGAGGTGTTTAGAAAAATAAACATAGCAAGTTTAATTTTATCAAATGAGTTGAAGAAAATAGTTCATATTTAAGTTTAGGCTTCTTTACATCCTTAGACATTATAGGTGGGAGTAACTATGTTTCATATGTGACTTGTTCTGTTTTCCTTCAGTGATTGAGATGTCACACTAAGCTTGGACTATTATTGTAAAAGTTCTGAAAATAATCAAATACATATATCTGATGTATTTTTAATAATCATACCTAACTACAGTGTTGCCTATGCCTGAAATAATGATCCAGTATTAAGGATAACAATTAAGTCAATTAAAATCAAAGCAGTAACAAATGTCTGTTAACATCACTTAGCAGATAGCTAATTCTAACCTCCCCCAGACTATCTAATTTAGCTATCTGACTATGCATCTCTACAGTCAATCACTTTAATTTGATGGTGTGATTCAAGCATCAGTCCATCAGCCTTTATGTTTGAAGAAAGCAGTGATATCCGAGACGAAAAATGATTAAAGTACTTAATATCAAGGCTGCAGAGATGGTTGAAAGTTGAGTGCTTGCTGCATTTGCAAAAGACCTTAATTTGGTCCTCAGCAGCTCATAACCTCCTGTAACTCCAGCTCCATAATATATGACATGCTCTTCTAGCTTTCTCTGGTACTCCTATATATGTGGTACACACGCACACAAACATATATCTAAAATTAAATATTTAGAAACCTATGTACTGTGTGAAATTACCATTTTCTTAGCTAAAAAATATTTGTTACTAAATACAGTATCTTGAGAGGCACATGCATGGAATTTTGCAAGAAACTCCACCATATGTCTTCAACACTAGCCTTACCCACCATATTTCTTGAAAAGTTTTTAATGAATCAGGTTGTAAATCCATAACGTAGTGATTGCTTCAGAGTTAAGGGTTTGGAAACAGAAATTCGTTAAAAAAAATAATACTGTACTTTGTAATACTTTTCCCATTATTTCACAAAAATACTTTTAGGAAAACCTGTCAAAAAGTAAATTTGAGCTCTAGGCTGTTCCCCACTTTTTCTTCTAACCGATTTAGAGTATCTGGTTTTATGTTGAGGTCTTTGATCCACTTGGACTTTAGTTTTTTGCAGGGTGATAAATATGGATCTATTTTCATTTTTCTGCATGTAGACATCCAGTTGGACCAGCACCATTTGTTGAAGATGCTGTCTTTTTTCCATTGATTGGTTTTGGCTTCTTTGTCAAAAATCAAGTATTCATAGGTGTATGGGTTTATTTCTGGGTCTTCTATTCGGTTCCATTGATCCTCCTTTCTGTTTCTATGCCAGTACCATGATTAATGAAGCAAAATGTGATTCTATCTATATAATAAAATATTATTAGACAATATAAAAGAGTAGATGCTATATTTACCAGTAACTTTCTACAAGATGTGGTATAGATGAAGTTCAAAAGCATGGTAACCAAAGGAACCATTAACCAAAAATCAAATGCATTATGATTCCATTTATGTGACACTTGCAGAACTGTTAACTCTATAACAATTAAAATATATTACTGGTTGGTATAGCTTAGGGTGTAACTAATAGGTAAGAACTAATAGGTAAGATATTAGGTGCTCCATTCTTCACACTATGTTGATGACTGTGCAAAACCCATGAAATTTTACATTTTAAATAGGTAAATTTTAAGGAATATAACATATCTCAATAAACTTGTTAATAAAAACAACCATAACAAAATAATAATTAAATTAACAAAACGATTACTCTTTCAAAAATATTCTAAATGTTTGTCTGTGTACTAAGTTCACGCCTGGTGCCAGAGGAGGCCAGAAAGGACATCAGATTTCCTGGAACTCTAGTTACTGCCAGTTGTGAGGCACCTTGTGTGTGCTGGAGATAGAACCTGGTTTCTCTAGAAGAGACCTAAGTGATCTTAAATACTGAGCCATATCCCCAGTTCCAAGAATAGTTACTTTTTATATAAAAATTTAAAAATTAGTTACAAAGGGATGACCAGTAATATTCAGAAGCAGCGGTTGTGGAAGGGGGACAGAAGACCAGAAAAATCAAATTAATCAAACATGAATCACTTAATTGGTTTTATTGGAATTCATCAGAAGGAAAGAATTACAGGTGTTACATAGAATACGACATCCTTTGTATATTTTAAACACCAACAACTGGTTAACAATATCCATGAGAATTATACTTTTTTACCTTTTTACTTAAAGAATGCAGTCTGATTTCACCAAAACTCCTTGTACTTAGTCTTTCCCAATCAAAACGATCTTTATTTCAAAATTCTCTGTTTACCTGTGTTCAGGTTCCCAAGGAAGTGTTCACATTTAACATTACAATTAACAATTTATAGTGTTTTTGGAAATGGAACTCTTTCTGAAGATCAAAAATTCTAAAAGGCAAATTAGCTCTAAAATGAGAAATTAACAAATTATCTGATCTGTTTTATAAACACAAATATTCCAAACATATTATAAAAAACAGCAAGAATTTTATTCCCCAGGCTATGAAAGTTCTTTCAAAACTCAACTTAATTCTCAGAATTTTGTTTTCTTTTCTTTCTTCTAAAGCCTTCAATTTGAGAAAACTCAATCCAAACTTTTACTTTAAAGCTATAGATAAATTGATTTCAAGGTATTATCCCATAAATATAAACATCCTCCATGCATCTATTTTTGAATAATGCCTGTCCCAACAGTGTTATTTAATACAAACCAAAAGTTAAATTTCTCACATTGAATATTGCTAGTATCATCTGCAGCATTTAGGAATGTTCAGAAAAAAAAAATATTGGCTGAAATTATTTTGCTTACTCCAGATTTCATTGAAAGCACTGTTTTCCATAGAGTTCTCTGAATTTTTTTTTTTTTTTTGGTAAAAAGAAAAAGGAAAAAAAATAAGAGGAATAGGTAGCTTTGACTCTAATTTAATGTTCAAAGTTCAGATCACTAAAAAATTGAGAAATTGTCTTCAAATTGTTTTTTTTTTTTTTGGTTTGGTTTGTTTTTCCCCTTCCTAAACACCTATAAAGAAACAATTACTCATCAAAATTACTGTATATTATTCAGAGTCCAGTAACAGATAATTTTTTAAAACATTTATTTTAAAGTATCAAATCAAGTTTGAATTTCAGTAAACACAGCAATGCCTTCATTATATGTTGGATTTTTTTTCAGAGTTCAGTCTAGCAAAAGGCAGATATCATACAATAATTTAAAATCAAAGATGTGTGTTTGAAAAATAAAGTAATACAAGACAAAGGTATAATATCAATATCTTCTGGTTGAGTGATTTGGGTCATCCTTATCTTCAAAATATTTTCAAGGTTGTTCTCATTCTTTGATACTTGTGCTTTCTCACAAAATCAAGGCATGGTAGAGATTCTTTCTACTTGAACTGATTTGTTGATACAATCTACCTAAACTGAAAAAAAAAAGCTCACCTATCAAGAGACAGTGGCATTCATAATCACCAGCAGTGTCAAAGCAGGAGAAAAGAGCCGCTAAGATTTCTCTTAGCAAACATCAAAGGAAAATAAATCTTGAACAATGAGGGGCAAAATCTTGCATAATGGTTAATTTAAAGTCAGAGCTCTTTGCAAGGAAGGACCAATTGAAAATTAATTGCAATCTTTTTCCGTAACTTATATACCCATATTTTACTGAGGCAAGCAACTTAGAAAAATGATAATGTTATAACTGTATAAGTAACAAGGAATCTGTCACTAACTGTGCAATGAAAGGGTACATTTAGAAGCCTGGAAAACGTATGGTCCAGGGCATAAAATTTTATTCTATAAAATGAAAATACCAAAATCACCATAGGAAATTATAATGTCTAACACATCATGAACATAACCTGCAAACACATTTCAACAACAGTAACATCACATCAAAGTATTCATGTTCACTAAAGTTAATGAGGCAATTTTGGAATAAGAGTCTCGATCTCTCTCTTTCTCCTGCTTTAATTCCTTTAAGTTGAAATGAAGATATCCTTAAGCTACACAGTAATATAAAAAAAAGGAGCATATTTTTGGCAAAATCCTTACAGAACCTAAAATGCCTTGGCAGATGATAATACTACTCTATGATATCTACTTAAAGTTTTAACTTCATCTCTCATTTTCTCACCACCATGTTCACATTTTAATTATGCTTGTTTGCAGGCAAGAACATCAACTACTCTACTATTTCAACATTTAAGCCTATTTTTTAAAGCCAAGATTTTTTTTAAATGCAATGGATATTCATTATTTTTCAATATGCTGAAGGGAGAACAGGTAGCATTCATTCCTGCTGCTTTTCCTGGGCTTTTGCTTCCTGGAATAAAACAAACAAACAAAAAATTCATTTAAATATCACAAGGCAGATACTCCTGTACATTTTGGTTAACATAAATTAGCTCAAATTACTAAGATAATTCAAAAAGAGAGTACTTACTTTCATAGAAGAAAAGGCTTTAAAATAATTAGCAGTAGCTTTCATCATGCCATGAAGTACTATGCAGGTTTCTGGGAGAGAATAGGCATCAAATTCTGATTCAGCTATGGACCCTGTATACCACAAAACCAACTCACCAGGCAAGATGGGCCCATTGGTAAAGTGGTGTGACTGTTATGGGGGTTAGCAACTTCTTTCTGATTTGGTTTGAAGTCTGTCCTGTAAGAGGAACTAGTTCTGTGAGCGCAGTAAATACCCCCTCGACAATGAGGTCACAGGTACTCAGGAGGAGCCTACTATTATTTTGCTGAACGGTCATGTTGTATTCATCAAACTGCCTTGTAAATGTTTGTGTTTATGACCATATAGTGCTGCTTACAAACCTGACCAGAGAAACTTCTTTTTGCAGTGAGCAGCAGTTGATAACTAATCAAAATACTAAGAAAAATGACTGTTGAATGCTCAGTCATAATGGGACATCTGTATTATCCCCTCCAAGTCTGAAAGAACACCTAAAAAGATAGGACCCTGACAATATGCCCTCATGAAATTAAGGTAGGGGCTTGTAAAGCCCCACCAATCCTTGGTAAATGGCTCCCCATCATATCAGCAACATTTTTTAAATCCAATGGGTCAAAATAAATACAAAATAAATAAATCAAATAAACACAAAAGGCTTTTAAAAACTTAGCAGAAAAAAAAACACTACGAAATAGCAACTAGCATATGCAGTTGGGGAAGCAGTTACATAATAATGTGCATATATTTGTCAAGTATTTCTTCTCATAAGTGCACATCACTTTCAAGTATTTGGAAAACAGCCTAGCTCCCCATAGCCAAACTCTATATTTCCAATGAAAGAAATTTACTAACATGGGCATCTAAACAAAAGGAAATTCTACATTCTAGGTAACTGGCCTAATAGGTAGTGGCATACACTTTTAATCCCAGTACCAGGGGAAAGGGGCAAGGCAGGTGGGTCTCTCTGAGTTCAAGGCCAATCTGATCTACTGAGCAAGTTCCTTTCTAATTTTAGGAATAAAATAAATTGTAGGACCAGTGAGACAGCTCAGCAGTGCTGTCTATGATGCAAGCCTGATGATTTGAGCTAAAATCTGGGAACTCTTACCTACACACGTGCATTGTGGTTCTAATGCTCCCTCGTAACACACACAGACACAAGACACACACACACACACATGTGTACACACACTGAACTTAAAAATTATTAAAATAAAGAAAACAAGATAAAATATATTAAGGTCTCCAATAACACACAGGTGTCCATGTACACACACATTATATACATACACACCCAACAATAATAAAAAACTTATTTAATTTTAAAAAGTATGCTGGGTACACAAAAGGATAATAAAGATTATTTGTCTTCCACAAGAATGTGTTTTATTGAAATATTTGCACTGCAGTTCTTTTAGGTAGCAATATATGTATATATGATATGATATGATATGATATGTATGATATGATATGATATGATATGATATGATATGATATAATATGAACTTTATCCTGTGCCTGCAGAGGTTTTGAGTTAAGTAAATCAGGATTCACATCCCAGCTGTGCCATTCAATTCTGTAGTTTTGGACAAAGTAAATTATTTAAGTATTAGTTTCTTCTACAGAATTCCATTGCAGACACTTAGCTCATAAATATGATCTAAGGATAAAACAATGAAAACAGATATATACAGAGTGTTCCCCTGAGTGACCTCATTAGAGGCAAAAATTCTTTTTCTCCTTTCCTCCTTTTGACTGAAACCAACTCCACAGTTAGGTTATTAATCTTAGTTATTAATCTCCTGTATAGATTATTTTCAATGAAAATAAGATTGTTTCACATACCACAACTGAGGAAGATTCCATGGCCACTTTTCATACACAATGATTCAAACAAGATTAATAAAAACATTTTTCTAACTATAACTCTCTACTATATTAAAAGATTACTTCAAAAGGCTTTCCTAGGCAAATCATTTTTCCCTAAAGACAAATGTCACTGGATTTATATTTTTGTCAAACTATAAACTATTTTATTATTTTTCATCTTAAAATCATCACTTTCACTACAAAGCAAGAACTGCCAGAGCTAAGAAGTACTTTCTAAATTAAAATAAAAGCAAGAAATCAGTACTAACCTTTCCCTCTTAAGTATCTTTGGTACACAAACGGATAATAAAGCATATTTGTCTTCCGCAAGAATGTGCTTTTTGGAAATATTTGCAGTGCAGTTCTTTCAGGTAGCAGGCTTTCTAGTGCATTCATTTTCAATAAATTTTAAGAGTATGCACTATTACTTATTTGGTAAATAAAGAATGATAGATGATATTGGCAATGAATGATATTGGCAGCTATCCTTTTTAGGCTCCTTTTTGTCCTATGTATAGGTTCTAAATATGATTAGAGAATTATCCAGTGAAAATAAATCTATAACTAATTTTCATATTTTTCCACAAGCTACACAGTTCTCTCTTATCAATACAGGACATTCTTGCTGAGACTATATAGTTATTTTGTCAGACTATAACATTCTTGAGTCTTTTGACAAATATTTGCTCTTCTCATTTTCAAAGAAGAATAACAACTCACCTTGCCAGCGCTACTGTTTCGATATACTTTCCCAGAGCAGAGTTTTACCTTTTGGTTTCATTTTTACAAATTTCACAAATGAAAATTGCATTTCACCTTACAACATCTCTTTCACCATCAGTGTTCTTTTCCAGTATGGTTAACTACTTAATTTTCTTTTTTGCTAAGATTTATTTTTATTTTTCAATTTTATGTGTGTCTGCATATGAGCATGTGCACAAGAGTGCTGTTGTCTTCAGAAGCCAGAGGTGTGGCTCTAGAGTGACATCTGTTTGTGAGTGTGTGCTGGGAGCCAAACTCAGGTCCTCAATTCTATTCGTGGTCACAGTCTACTGCATGGCTTATCTCCAAAATCGAAATCATTTCAATTCCCCTCATAATGCTGATGTTCCAAAACTCTCCTCAATCTTCACAGGTAATTTCACTTTTCTCATGCCTCACAGGTAATCACTCTTCTAATCTCACACTAATGGAAGAATACCTTTAATTATGAACTTTGTAACCTTCCCTCATATTAACATTCCTATTTGTAATCCTTCTCTCCTTATATCTTTCAATCTCACCAGAAGATCATAAGCCCTCTCATTTTAAAGACTCACCCTCTCCCTGGTTAATTCCTTGTTCTATTATAGGTCCAAATTCCAAGAAGAGCTTTAGTAATCCACTTCAGTTCTTAGATGCACAAATATCTTTTTCATTTGGCAAAGCTTGTAATGTAATTCTCCTTCTAAATTCATCATTCTTCTTTTTAAGCTATTTCACTTAAGGCCCTCTCAATTGTTTTTGTGGACTGTTAAAGCATCCTAAAATAGAAGTCTGACTATAACATGTCATTCCTCTAATGTTCACAGAGCACACACCTGCCAAATTTAGCTTCTTAAGCCAAATTTTCATGGCAGGATGGCACACAAGTGTAACCCCATCACAGGGGAAGTCTAGGTGCTAAGGAGAAAGTGGGCAGCCTTTGCCTTATCCCTGATTTCAGTGGGACTGATTTAAGTTTCTCTCCAATTAGTTTGATGTTGACTATAAGACTGATGTATATTGCTTTTACTAAGTTTAGGTATATGCCCTGTATCCCTGATCTCTCCAAAACTTTAAACACTAATCAGTGTTGGATTTTGTCAAATGCTTTTCCGGCATCTAAGGAGATGATCATTTTTTTTTTTCAGTTTGTATATATGGTGGATTACACTGATGGATTTTCTTATGTTGAATCACCCTGCGTGCCTGGGATAAGGCCTCCTTGGTCATGGTAGATGATATCTTTAATGTGTTCTTAGATTCAGTTTGTGAGTATTAAGTATTTTTGCATAGATGTTCATAAGAGAGATAGGTCTGAAGTTCTTTCTTTGTTGGGTCTTTGTGTGGTCTAGGTATCAAGGTGACTGTGGCTTCATAGAATGAGTTTGGTAATGTTCCTTCTGTTTCTACTTTGTGAAATAGTTTAAAGAGTATTGGTGTTAGCTTTTCTTTGAAGGTTTGGTTTAGAATTCTGCAATGAAACCGTCTGGCTCTGGGCTTTTTTAGGATGGGAGACTTTTGATGACAGCTTCTATTTCCTTAGGAGATATAAGACTGTTTAATTTATTTACCTGATCTTGATTCAGTTTTGGTAAATGAAATCTATCAAGAAAACTGTCCATTTCATTTAGATTTTCAAATTTTGTTTTGTACAGAACTTTTATTGATAAAAAACACAGCAGCAATAAGACAGTCAACAACAAAGGACATAGAGGAATCATACCTTTGAACCAGGTGGTGCTGTCAAGCCTAAAAAGGCATAAACTGCATTATTTTCTCGGGCTTCAAAGAAGGCATCATAATCCTTTGTGAAAAGAAGACAAGAAAAATTAGCAATCAACAATCCAATAGAAAAGAAATGTTCTCACAATGATTTGATTGGTTGACAAGATCAGCTGTCTCCCTTGGAGCTAAGCTCTATAACGCTGAAATCCTGGAAGGAGTAATAAACAGAAACCAGGAGGATTTCTGAAATGACAAGTGTGTAATACCAACTTCAGAAGCTAAGGAAGAAAGATCACCAGTTCCAGGCCAGACTGAGCTACACAGGGAAACACTATATCGCAAAAAAAGCCCATTATTCATCCCCTAGGTGAGGAGCATTAATGTCTGGTGTACAATTTGAAAAATGTTTACATTGCAATCTCTCTCTCTTTTTTCTGAGACATGGTTTCTCTGTGTAGCCTTGGCTGTCCTAGATGCATTTCGTAGACCAGGCTGGCCTTGAACTCACAGAGATCTGCCTACCTCTGCCTCCCAAGTGCAGGGATTACAGGCATGCACCATCATACCTGGATAATATCTCTCTCACCTTTTTAACTTTTATTTTATCTGCATTGGTGTTTTGCCTGCCTGTATGTCAGTGTGAGGGTGTCAGATCTTGGAGTTAGAGTTGTGAGATGCCATGTGGGTGCTGGGAATTGAGCCCAAGTCCTCTGGAAGAGCATTCAGTGATCTTAAATGCTGAGCTGTCTCTCCAGCCCCACATTGCAATATTTCAATATTGGCTTGTATTCACCTTACTTTCGAATAAGAGTAAAATTTTAAAATGCCCAGACAAAGCATTTTGAGGCAAAAACAAACAAATAAAGAAAGAAACAAGCCTCTAAAAAAACAGTATATTCATTTTGTGATAGTCTGTTTTTGTGTTTTATGAAATTCTGTGTGTGAATGTTGTGTCTCTGCATCTTTATGTGTTTCTGGTGCTTTCCTTTGACTGTTTTCCCTTTTGTTTGTTTTGCCCTATGATGATTTCTTTGTTTTTATTTTGTCATTTTATTTTGTTTTACTTTACTGTTTTCAGGTAATTGTTTTCTAACAATAGAGAGCAAGAAAGTGTATGGATTTAGGTGGGTGAGGAAATCAAGAGGACATGGGAAGAGTTTGAGGATGGGAAACTCTAATCATATATTGTTTGGAAAAAAAATCTATTTTCAGTTAAAAACAACAACTAAATAAATACAAAGAGGAAAGGATGGAGGAAGGGAGAAAAGGCTATTTAACATATATTTGAAGGCAGGTTGATCTTTGGCTCAGAAAAGGCAGAATCGTTTATTGCACACCACAAAGAATTTACATCTGCTTGCACCTTCCTCCACAACCTAAAGCAAGTATTCTTCAGCAGTAGATTGCTTATTTACAGACTCGTTCCAGTTCTCCATATTTCCATCCCTTCGCCGAATTTTATAGTAATTTTCTCATCCCTAAATTAAACCAATATTAGCTACACACGCATAAAGCCAGAAGAACAGTGAGGCTGTACTGTGTTTTCTAAGAGAGTAAAATGTTCTTGAAATGAGCAAAAAAAAAAGCTTTAACCCTGAAGGTTCAGGAGAATCTTGACACATCTCAATTTGGTTGAGCTTTACATTGTTTGTCCCCTAGACCACAAAGCCTTCACCAAAAATCACATACGGACTTGACTACATTTGTAACTTGTAATCAACAGCAAACATAGTTCAATGTCTATTTTCTGTACATGGCCTTGATTATGTGATTTCTGGACATACATAGGGAACCTGACTTTTTGGCTGATTTGTTACAGCTGAGATTCTCAAAACTTGCTGAATTTTCTACAGACTGTCTCAACAATAGATTGCAGGCTTCTTTTCAAGCACCTTTCCTTCTTTCCAGCATTTGGAGAATGTGGACATAAATGGAACCCTACCAATTTGGATCCTACTTCAAGAAATAGCAGAACACATAGAGCCAGGCATGGTGTCCCATATCTGTAGTCTGCATTTGGAAAGAAGAGGCACGAGGATTAGAAGTTCAGAGCCAAGAGCTACATGGTAATATGGTTGTTTTGGCCAGTCAGAGTTATGTAAGATCCTGTCTTAAAAACATAGTCTTTTCCCCTTATTATTCTGAATAATATGAACTTAATTCTTTTTATTGATGAAGGATAACATTAAGTCGCTAAAATGATTAACTACACATAGAAGAAAATAATTGCAAAACATGTAAGTGGCAAAAAATTTACATCTCTATTACATAAAAATCATAAGACATAATACTGATTAAACAGATATTTAAAGAAAATAGAAGGATGACAAATAAGCACATAAATGTATGTTAATATCATAATTTTGAGCATTTCATAAACAGAAATTAAAATGACCGGAAAATATCAAGACACCAAGCTATTTGGGATTGGTTGAAAAGGTTGACAATAGGGCTGAGAAGTAGCTCAGACCTGCAGCATTTGTCTATCATGGGTACAATACTGAGAAAAATATGCAGGAACATATAAAAAGAGCAGACAAACTTCTGACAATACCAAGAACTGAAAGAAAAGGTTGAGTACTGGACACGTAGGGTAAATGGCAGAGTCCATCCAGAAACATTTCAGATTCCTTATAAATTAAAAATACAATCACTGCCAAGTGTGGTGGCACACTTGTGTAATCCAGCCCTCAGGGAGGCAGAGGCATGCAGAGCTCTGTGAGTTTGAGGTCAACCTGGTCTACAAAGGGAGTCAAGAACATACAAGGTTACACAGAGAAATCCTATCTCAGAAAAAAAAAATACATTCACGGTGTTAAGCAACAAACACATCCTTGGCATTCAATACTGAAAAGTGAAAATTAGTGTTCATACAAAAATCAATGCTCAAAGCACTGATAATGACAATGGTTCAAATTTATAAACAATAAAAATGTCTACCAATGTACAGTGTTTATATCTGTATAATGATAAACTGCCACCCAGCAACCTGAGGGAACAAGGTGTTGATACAGGCAACAACTAGATCTCAAAAATATACAATTCACTGAAAGAAGTCAGCATTGAAAGACTGCATACTATATTAACCAATTTTTATGACCTTATCAAACAGACAAAATTATAGTGCTGAAGATAAATTAGTGCTTGCCAGGGATTAGGGTTAGACATAGTATATACATATAGAGGAATATCACAACACTTTGAGAAATAGTATTTATCGTAGCACTAGTTCCACAAACCAATGCATATGTTAAAATTCATAGGAAAGCGCACACCACAAAAGTCACTACCACAAAGTAAAATTTCAAACATGAAGCTTATACAAACATAAACAATCTAATTACATTTCAAGAAAAAAAATGACAAAAACAAAATTATATAAGTTAAACAAAAGTAAGTACTGGAGGATGTGTGTGTGTGCTTGAGTGTGTGTGTGCATGTGTGTGTGTGAGGGTGTGTATTGTGTTGTATTCTACCAAGTGGCTGGGAGAACTTAAATGTGGGAGCTGCCAAAACAACCTATACAAATTAAAAGTAAATTCAAGTTAACCCAACTAAAAATGGACTAAAATGCCCAAATAAGACATGCCTCAAATAAAAATCTATAAAAGGCCATTAGGTTTATGAAAAAATAAACATAATAATGCATTATTGAGGAATTCTTTTTGGAAAAATAATATTTTTATTATAAAAAGTTAAACATAGGTTTATATACTAAGAAAATAATGCAGATTGAGAAATTAGGCTTATTGTTTATTTTATACAAAAGAACTATCTCACAAAACAATATTAAATGAGAACTGAAATGCTGGTGAAGACTCCTTAAGTATGCTCCATAGGTATTATCATAACAGAGTTAGTTTTATAGAATATACTTCCTCAAATTTTATTTTATGTGATTAATCAACATCAATGTTGTGTTTATTAACCTGTCATTAATAACGACTTGAAGTACCACGGGATTGGAATCAACAATCCAAAACATCCTCTGCATTGAAAGAGAATTTATAATGCCCTGTATGAGAAGCTTAGATTTTATAGTAAAATGTTGATGCACAATTTACTTTTTGAAATATGAAACTGTTGGTTATTCATTTAAAAACATTCAAATATGAGTTACAAACAGAAAGACTTGATATATGCTTGCCAATTATGTTCAGAAAATTAATAATACTTATGAAACATAACAAAATGTGAAAATAATTCTTGGTCTTTTTCAAATTTTGGCATTTATCAAAGTATAAGCTAACTCTGCTCAATTCATAGACATAATTTTAACAAGTATAAAAAAGTATTTTAAAAAGAAATTATTTATGATATTTAAACCTATATAATCACTTGTTGTATAATTAATAATCGGAACTTAAAATCAACTTTCTTAGTTTTTAGTTTTTATAAATCTATAACAATATATTTGTTTTTTACATTTTAGTATTTATTTAATTTTTAATTTTTATTTATTATTAATTACAATTTATTCACTTAGTATCCCGGTTCTAGCCCCTCCCTTATCTCCTTCCAGTCCCACCCACTCTCTTTCTTCTCCTCCCATGCCCCTCCCCTAGTCCATTGATAGGGGCAGTTCTCTTTCCCTTCCATCTATCATGTGTCATCAGGGCTGGTTGCATCATCTTCCTCTGTGGCCTGACAAGGCTGTAACCCCCAGGGAGAGGTGATCAAAGAGCCAGCCACTGAGTTCATGTCAGAGACAGACCCTGCTCCTTTTACTAGAGAACGCACTTGGAGACTAAGCAGCCTATGGGTTTCATCTGAGCAGAGGTTCTAGGTCCTCTTCATGCATGGTCCTTGGTTGGAGTATCATTCTCTGTAGATCTCCCTGGGCCCAGTGTTTTTGGGTCTCTGTTGGTCTTCTTGTGCAGCTCCTGTTCTCTCCAGGACTATCTTCCCCTTCTTCCATAAGATTCCCCTGCACTCTGCCCAAAGTTTGGCTATGAGTCTCAGCATTTGCGTCGATAGCCTTTTTCAAGTCGCCATTCGGCTGACTCTCATATTCAGCTCTTCAAAGTTTTCTGGTATACACTAACTTATAAGTGGATATTAGTCTTATAATATAGGATA